TAAAAAAGATTTTTCTCAATAGATTTTGGCAAATCTGTTCTAAAGAAACCATAACTAGTGTAGAGGTGAAGAACCTGAGATTTTCTTGGCTGGGTTGGTATTCTAGTATAGGGCATCCAAGGGCATTTTGGCATCTGCTCAGAGGGAGTATTCCTGGTCGGTTGCACAAGCATGTCTGAGCTGACTCCACCCACATGGAGGAGGACCTTGGCTGAGGACAGACCAATGAAGCACATTAAGGAAGAGCTGTATGAAAAATGCATCACAGAGTAGAAATAGGGAAATATTGAAAACGTAATGAGCCATAAGGTCTCTGTCATCATTTCTTAATAGGAACGTTGTTAAATAACACTGGTGTGTACAGTAGGCTATGTATAATTTAGTACCACCATCTTTTATGAGCTTTATGGCCATACACACCTAATTCTTGAGGAAAGGACTGGTGCTACTATTGTCACTTACAACACACTTTACTAATTACTGATGTAGATTCAAGCCTCCGGAAAGGTCCATAATTTTATGGTAACACTTTTCGAAACTTAGAGCAACAAAGGAAGATTGAGAGACTACTGCAGATTTTCAAGGTTGGAGCCGAAGAGGGGACATACTCTCATGTGATATTCGAACTGAAATTCCGCTTCAAGATTCTAGTTCTATTTGAAATCTGTCATTTTAAAATTAATAACTGTTTTCCTTTAATACAGTCTGTGTAAAGAAACGCAATCCACTTATGAACAGTTCTCCTTCCTTTCCAGATACATGGAAATTCACTACTGTTGCTGACAAACAAAATGCCACAAGATTTGTCATACAAATCACATTATAAGAGGTTCCAAAAACTTGACAACGTTGACAGTTGTTTTCAGCAAATGGCTGCTTTACTCTGTACTGTCAATGTTGATGTCCTTGTGCACATGTAAAAGAGCAATGTGATTAAGGCAAGCTTGTCCACGCTATATCTGAGCCAAGTTTTCCGTCTCCGCGTGGCACTGAAAGATTGCTCAGCTGTTGCAGATAAGGCAGGAATAGCTAGCAGATTTCTGCCATTTAGAAAAAAAAAAAAAAAAAAAACAACATTCTCTGGGCATGCATTTCTGTAGGAATTTACCAACATCTGCTGCTGACCTAAAGTTTTCTATAGAAGTAGCATATTTAATTTATATAAGTAGCTCACAATGATATTGGTCAAGACTCATTTCCTGAGCAAATAATGAGATGCGTTCACCAAGAAGAGATAGGTTGAAGTTGAATAACATATACATTCTTTAAATTGTCATTGGAACTTCAGGCCTCTTACTTTTTTGGCCCGTCCTAAATTTATTTTCTGCATGTTCTCTAAATTATATTTCGGTAGAGAAACTTTTTAGAAGAATAAAGAGCTAAGAGATTTTGGTGATTCCACAGAAGGCCTACACTTCACACTTATCTTTTTTTTATAGGCTCTCTGAAAATGTTTGATTTTTGGAAGCTAATTTATTCTGGAAGAATTTTGTAGTTGAATTTTAGTGTGATTTAAAATTGTCATATGTGCTATCCTTAAAAGAACATACAGGATTTAGGTATTTCATGTTGTCAAGGTAACTTTGATAATCTCTAATTCCTTTGATTTTGGGCATCAGCTTACTCACCAGTTTATTTATGGATGCTCATTTTAAAATTTGTTGTTTGTCTATATTACTCTTTGTTTCTCTGGAAATATAAATGCTCTTCAGGTAAAAATATAAAACTTTTGAGTTCATCTTGACAACCCAAACCTGCCTTGTAATAATGCATTTGTTGTGTGATTCATCTATTCTTATTCTTGGTCACCTTCTAGTACAGCTGCATGTATTAACTGTCTGACTTGTCTTTGAAAATCTTAAGCCACATTCTTTGGAACAGTTGCTTCATGTTGGTTGAAATTCTCGGTGGCACTTTTTTCCATTCACAGGAGCCAACAGCCTCCATAGCAGACACATAGTTTCCAAGAACTTAGGCATGGTTCATGATTCCTGAATCTCAAAAATTTCTTTTAGGAATTGGAATACCATGTTCACTGTCTGAAACTTTTGGGCTGCAAATTATAATAAAGAAATGTAAAAAAAGAGAAATTTACATTTATGTTGCGAAGTTAAAGTAGCACACACAATTTAAATTTTTTTTCATTATTTCAGCTTAGCAGAGAGATAGAATTTAAAAACCCACTAAATAAAAAAATAATCCATTAGCCATGAGTAAGTAAGTAGTTAAAAATATTAGCTAACAATATKCTTGCAGGAAAAATTAAAGATGAAAAGATTTGTGAACCAGAAACGTGGGTGCTTTTATGAAACAACTCTTATTGTCTAGTTTAGATTCACATTTTCCTGTGAACACCTTTAGGTTGTACTAAAAATATAGCAACTGAAAGTTCAAATTTTAAGTCCCAAATTACTGCCTTTCAGATCCATTGAGACATCTAAAAAATGGGTCAAGGTAACAATGCATAATTTGATAAGTTAACAAAAAGTTGCTAATGGAAATAAAATGAAAATCAATATAATTGTGATAACCTTTAACATCTGTCTTGTTTCTACTGTCAGTTATACATTTTAGGAAGTATAAAAATCTTTGTGAAACATTTGCAACAGCAAGCTCTTTATTTTCAAGTAGCAAATGGAGAAGAAAGGAGAAATTTACCATACAGTGTTCAAATGAAGAAACAGGTTAAAAATATGAGCAGTCAAAAAAAAAAAAGAGTAAATACAGAAAATCAGAATGTGTATCAATAGATAAGAGCATGGAGGCAGGAAAACCATGGATATGCTCTGATTTTTGCTGCCAATTTTCATTTCAGAAAAGTTTACAAATTTTTGTTTTGTAAACTTTCATTAGGGTTATATTGATAATGATTTTTTGTACTTGGAAGAGATAATAGACTGAAAATAAAATGATAATTTATCATTTATGAGCTTTGTGAAGTTCTGGTCTTAGTTTTTTTTTTGGTATTCATTTTATTTCCAATTACAGAAGTTTATAATCTATCTGGCACTCAGATCTTCTCACTGTCACTATCCTTCTGAAGCTTTGGTTCAATCCATTTATAGTCATTGATAGACAAGAGCCAAGAGTGTGACGAAAATAAAACCATTGTTTGTGTATATAGTTTAAAAAGAAATTCATTTCTTTGAGCACATACTTATAATAATTATATTCTTCAATAAACTTTTTGAACTTACCTTCTGACCCAATAATGCTCAGGAAGTGAGGATAATTTGTCTTTCATGGTCTTCTGTGATATCACRGAACCAGTTCAAACAGTTGCACTTCCCACCACCTCATCCTTCTGCAAAGCCATAAAACTTTACTTTGCAAGGTGACTAGATTTACTAGATTGTGAAGGCTTCTCATTTGTTTTTGAACTTTCATATGATACTGAGAATTTCATGAGACAGAAGTGATGCTATCAATCATGCTATAAATTCTTATATGAAAGTTTTATTATGTTTTCCTGGAATGTGCAAGATAAAGTCCCTTTTACTGAATATTTCTAGAGTTGGGAAATGTTTTACTGGTTGGTTGGTTTCTATGTCATTTGAGTATGGTGAAAAATACTAGACACATTTTGGAAATAAAATCAAGTATAAAATAAGTGGCCTCTTGTGGACTGAAGAATCTTGCTATCAGTAACTAAATCTCTCATGAGAGGTCTAGGACCACTCTGCTATGACCATATTTCTGAAGATTGGTCAAATGTACAAAGACTTGTAAAAAGAGTGAAGGGAGATGGTAATTAGGTACAGAGCTAAAAATTGTGTTTTTAACTTTTTAAATTGTGTTTTAATTCTTTGGAAAAGTTTATCAAATGTGGCAAAGAAGCTACAATGGCCTGCTGTCATCTACAGGATAAAGTAGTACATAAAAAAACTTCATGCATCATCTAGTTTTCAGACTCACACCACTTCTTCATAGCAAAGCCAAGCTATGGATTACCAAATATTAACCATAATCTGATTATAGCTGGACTCTCTTCCTCCAAGAAAGCATTATGGGTTTTGTTTACCTTAGAAACAAGTATTTGTCCTGTGAAGACAGAGCCCAAATGATGTCTCCTCAGAGAAATATCCACTGACCATACAAGGAAGTCAGTAGCTCCCTCACTTTCTTTCCAGTTTTGACATTTATCCATGCTCTCTCACCTTGTTGAGTACTTGAAGGTAAGTTTATCACCCAAGTAAGACTGTGAATCTTTTGAGTGTAGGGATTACATATATACTTAAAACAATTTCTTGGACTTTGAGAGAAACTATATAACTGTTTTTTGAAGGAAGTATACCTTTGTATAATATCTGTCACGTATCATCAGAATATCCCACATGAGGCAGGTTGAGAAATCTATTTACAAAAGGAACACTCTCCATGCATACCATGGACATTCAAGAGCCCCTACAAGGTTCGTTTATCTTGAATAATGTGTTTACTTTYATGACAATTCAGATTGTGAGCTAATACTACTACTTTTATCATCACACTTCATAAGAAAGAGTTACTTCAGGTACATCTTGACTCATAAAGAAGTATCAAAACCCCCATTTTCATTTGAAAGTCTTCATTTAATTCAGAACTAAAATTGGTAGAGGAAATGAACAAGAAGATTGACACACTAATGCATCCTATAACAAGTCAGTATTTCAAGCATAGAGTCCATAGTTAAGAATTAGGAAGTTGGGCTGGGGATGTGGCTCAAGCGRTATCGCGCTCACCTGGCATGTGTGCAGCCTGGGTTCGATCCTCAGCACCACATACCAACAAAGATGTTGTGTCCACCGATAACTAAAAAATAAATATTAAAAAATTTTCCCTCTCTCTCTCTCTCTCTCTCTCTCAAAAAAAAAAAAGATTTAAAAAGAAATCAAGAAGTAAAAAGGAACTAGAAATACAAAGAAGAAAATAAAAAGGGAAAAGAGCCCTTCATTTGTTTACAGAGTCTAATCATTTTTTATTTTACATATAGTTCTAACAGGCTTTTGTTATTTTCACAGGACTTCTAGACTGAGGAAAATGAGAGAAGCAAGAAACAACAGCTCATCAATCCAGAATGTCAGAGAAAGCAATATTTTTTTTTAAAGGAAAAAGGCTTAGACTATTCATGGACCTTTCAATACAGTCCTACTTAATCTACCCTACTTTTGAATTAAGATCTAGTCCTATTAGGCATTCCTTTTCTTCATTGCTACCCTCACAAACAACTACCTTGTCTCCCCCATCTCTTTTCTCTAGATCATTTTCCGGGTCTTTTTTCTATTAATACATATTGTGCTGTGTCTCAAACTCTCACTGTGGCCTTCAGAGGTGAACACACATCAAGACTTGAGCACAGGACCAGTATATGTATTTAGCTCTGGGTATATCACTGCCACACCCCTCACCACATGGAAAAGGTGCTTCTGGATCCCAGGAGCTCTCTAGTTCTTCATGAAGCTCCCAGCTGTGTCCACTTGCCACCTGACTTCTTATTGTGTCTGTTGCCTARATGTCCCCAGTACCTGCCTACTTGTCCTGCCAGACCACCAGGTCGGTCTGGTCTCAGGGTACAGCTGTTTCTCTCCGTTACTTTCTTCCATGATTGACAATTTCTGGATAACCTATGGAAATTTGTGGTGACAACTTTGAACGACTCTGAGTTTTGTAGCTGGCACCTTGGAAATCTCTAGTGAAATTCCCAGAGTGATAAGGGCTAAAGAAGTTCAAAGGACCAGCAGAGATTGCCACAGAGACTGCAGCATTTTTAAAGCAGTATTGCTTCTAGGCTGTGAACTACAATGGGCACAAAGAATGATTCTCCCTTTTAAAAATGCTATGTTGTGACTCTCGGTACTTGCCTCACTGGTTGTCACAACTATCTACAGACAAAGTTCTTCAGTGTGCGGTGCATGGCTCCACACTATTCTGCCACTCAAGTGAAGGGTATGCCTAGGGCCTTAGTTTGTGTAAACATTGTTTTGCTGACTATGAATTTTGAACTACTAATGTTACCACCTTCCACTTAGTGATAATTTACTCTTCTATTCCATGCTGATGTTTTAGATCAAGATTTTATGTTAAAATTTAGGCACTTTTATGTGCATTCCTGCTTGCTTAGATAAAATTAGAACACATGGCTTAATTAGTAAGATGTGTATGTTCATGAGGGAAGGCACACTTTCCACCATTTTCCCCCCCATTTCCAGGAAATTGCATTATGAAAATATTGCTTTGGAAAAGGAACGGAGCCATTCCCTGAGTGGAATTTATTATAATTTAGCAGTTATATAATTGTAATTGAGCCACTCTAACAAAGGCTACCATTCATTTCTGTTGAAGCATCATCTAAAAAAATCTAGCAACATCTACTTTTGGAACTGATGCTGGTCTACTGACTAGGTAACCATGCCTGAACACAAATTTGAAGCCCTTTGGGAACTAAATATTGTTCTCATTGTTTATTAACTATCTGAATTTCTAATATCCATTCTTTGAGGTCTTAAGAGATGATAGTATTCAATGGAAATACATGTTGTAGGGATAACATGCTGAACTGCTACAACTAATACTTGAATGATAATAAGTAGTCAACTTGATGAGAAGTAATGTTTAGTCAGCTTTTTTGCTGCTATGACCAAAAGAGCTGAAAACTTTTCCTCATTAAAGGAGGAAAAGTTTATTTGGGGGCTCACAGTTTCAGAGGTCTCAGTTCATAGATGACAGGCACCATTACTCGGGGCCCAAAGTGTGGCAGAGCATCATGGTGAAAGTGTTTGGCAGAAGACAGCAGCTCAAGATATGGCAGCGTGGAAGCAGAGAGAGATTATCTGGTCTCCAGGGACAAAATATATACCTTAAAAGCACCCCCCCCCTAGAAATCTACTTCCTTTAGCCACACAATAACTGCCTAGGGTTGCCACCCAGTTAATACCATTCAGGGGATTAACACACTGATTAAGGTTAAGACTCTTATAATCTAATCATTTCACCTCTTAACATTCTTTCATTGTTTTACACATGAGCTTTTGGGGGACACTTCATATCTAAACAATAAAAAGTAGGCCTATGCAAATAGTATATAGAGATGTCACCTGGAAGTGACTGAAAATGTAGAGAGAGGTCTGAAAGCGAGAGCTACAAACTCTAATGTTTGTCTACTATCTGTTTATTAAAGTTATAAAAATTTGCTAAACTCTGGTTATATAATTATTTTGCTGAGCCTTGCTGGAACCATCTTTATTTTTTTAAAAGAATATGTATGTTCATTAATTTTTTAAAATAATAAAAATGAACAGACCAATAATGAGTTCAAGTCAGTAATAAAAAGTCTCCTATCAAGACAAACCCAGGACCAGATGGCTTCACTACTGAATTCTAAAAAAGCACTTACAGAAAAACTAATACTAATTCTTAAAGTACACAAAACATTGAAGTGGAAAGAATTCATTCATACTAATTCTGTGAGACCTGTGTTACCTTGCTACCCAAACCAGATAAGGACACAACAAAAAAAATAAAACTTCAGTCCCATGTCCTTGATGAGCATAGATGTAAAAATCCTCAATAAAATGCTAGCAAACTGAATCCAACAGCACATTATAATGTTATTTACCATGATCAAGTGGTACTCATCCCTGGGATGTAATAATTATTCAACATTAGCAAGCCAATAAAGGTGATGCAACATATCAACAGAATGAAGGAGAAAACTAATATGATCATCTTAATAGATGCAGAAGATGAATTTGATGAAATTCAACATCCATCATGATAAAACTCTGAGCAAATTAGGTATAAAAGGAACATACTTCAACATAATAAATGCCATATAAAATAAGATAACAGCTTATATACAGAATAGAGAGAAACTGAAAGTTTTCTAAGATCTGGAACAAAACAAGGATGTCCACTTTTGCCACATTTACTCAAAATCAACATATAAAAATCAATAGTGTTGCTATATACCAGTAGCCAATTATCTCAAGTAGAAATCAAAAAAGCAATTTTATTTATTATAGCTAATATATATATATATATGATTAAAATTATAGAAATCAGTGAACCTGGCATGGCTGCACATGACTATGTGTAATAATTCAGGAGACTGGGACAGGAGGATTTCAAGTTCAAGGCCAATTTGAGCAACTTGGAGAGACCCTATCTCAAAATAAAAAAAATATAAAAGGCTGGGTTAAATCACCAGAACCAGAAGAAAAAAAGACATTGGTGAAATTATTTAAAGATGACAAAGAAAAATGGAATAAAAAATTTTGCAGATTGCAAGAATCAATACTGTTAAAACATCCATACTTTCCAAAGCAATCTATGAATTAAACGCATTCTTTATCAAAATACCAATAACATTCTTCACAGTATGTGAAAATCCCCCCAAATTTGTGTAGAATCACACATACACATCCACACTCACAAACACACACACACACACACACACACACACACACACACACACACCCCTGATAGTCAAAACCATCTTGAGCAAAAAGAACAAAGCAGGAGACATTATACCTGATTTCACCATATTCTACAAAACTATAGTCATCAAAATATGATTGAGCTCTATGATTGAGCTATATCACACMTGGGTATATATCCAAAGGAATCAAAGTCAGCATACTTCAGAGATACCTGCATACCCATGTTAATCACAGCACTATTTATAATAGCCAAGTTATAGAATCAGCCTAGGTGCCCATTGATGGATTAGTAGATAAAGAAAATGTGGTACACAACAGACTATTATTCAGCCATTAAAAAGAGTAAAATCACATCATTTGTAAAATGGATGGAATGGGAGATCATAATGTTAAGCCAAGTAAGTCTGACTCAGAAAAAACAAGTATCATATCTTTTCCCCGTATAGGGGTGGAAAGATATGAAAGTTGCAGGGATATTATTAGAGAAGAGGAAGGGGGTCAGGAGGAAGGTAGAAAAGAGGGCAAGAGAGAATAATAAGTATACACAATCAAAGTATGTTATTTGCATATGCCATAATGAAACCCATTGTTCTGTAAAATTAAAATTCATTTAAAAAAGAAAAACAACAGATATTGGTATAAAACTAGACACACAGACCATTGGAGCAGAATCAGCCAAGAAGCAAACCTGTGCTTCCATAGCTAACTGAATTTCAACAAATTGGCGAAAGGAAAGTCTTTTCAATAAATGGTGTTGAAAAATTAAATAACCAAATGCAGAAGAAAAAAAAAACTAGAAAATGTGATGGATAGGCATACTAGAATACTATTCAGCCATAAAAGAAAGAAATCCTGTCTTTTATGATAACACTGATGGAACTGAAGATCATGATGTTAAGGGAAATATACCAGACACAACGAGACAAACATTGCATGATCTCAGTCATACGTGAAATCTAAGATTGTTGATCTCATAGAAGTTGAGAGTAGAATGGTGGTTACCAGAGGCTGATGAAAGTAGGAGGAAGGAAGGGATGGGGCACCACCCTTCCATAGGAGCAAGAAGTTCTGCTGGGCTACTGTGTAGTAGGGATACTATGGGTAACAATAAGGTGCAGCAYATTTCTAAAAGCTAGAAGAAAAAATTTTGAATATTTTCATCAAAAGTATGTCTATATATGTCTAAAGAGAGATGTTTAACCTGATTTAAACCTAACAATTGCATATATGTGAGTGAATATCCCATGATGCCCCATAAATATATAAAATTTTTATATTTGTATGTATCAGCCAAACATTCAATCAAAAATCATTAAAATGTTATGATTTACCCAATTCTTTTATTTTATTCCACAAATGGCAGTTTTATCACCATTGACCTATACAGTTTCCTTTCAGTTCTAAACTCCAGTGGTTCTTATTTTGTATTTTTTTTTCTTAGAAATTTTTCTCAGGATATTTGGGTCTGCTGAGGTGATGGCTTATTTCTCTGTGGTTGTCAGTTGTGTTGTGGTCTTCATGGGAGGATTTGACCCTATGAAGATAACCACTTAGTAAGGTAGATGTGTGTGTGTGTGTGTGTGTGTGTGTGTGTGTGTGTGTGTGTTTTGGCATGGGTCTAAGATTTAATTAAATTTGGCTCAATATATGCCATTATATGTAAACTTTCTTGCCTTTCTATTCTATATCTAATATTTTACAGATAATGGGAAGCACTGACCCCTTGAATGGAGAACTATACTAACTAATGTTTCCTATTGTATTTCTGAAAATTCATGTCAGAAAATGCAAATGCACTGCCTTCAACTGGGCAAACTGGAGAGTCTTAATTTTAAAGAACCCTCTAATTGCTGGTAGGTTTTTTTTTTCATATTAAAGTAATCCCATGTCTCTAATGCTTGTACACCTTCAAATAAACGTTTGAAAAACTGGAAATTCAAAATTGAAGACAAATTTTTAAAAAATTTGGAAAACTTCTAGAATAAATGGATTAACTTTATAATGTATTTATTAATTTAGGAGAAACTCTTTCCTTTTGTCTAGAGCTGTAACTCTATGGTGAAAATCAACTATGCTCCAGCATTAATTTTAAACAAATCTTCAAGTTATTTCTGGGGCATAAAGTGAAGCAAAGCCCATGTTTTCCCATCCTAATCCAGCAAAGCAGGTTCTCTAGAAGAAGAGAACCAGTCAAAGGCAGCTTTTGCATTCAGTGGCTTAGATGACTCACTCATGTCATAGGGGATAATTTCCCTGTGACCATTGAGATTTTTGTTATTTTCCTTCTGGAAGAAGGATAGATGGGTTTATTTTAGGTACTGGGTAAAGGGATCGTTAGTGGGAATTCTGTGAGAAACTGCCCAAGATGTGAGCTGGACAGGAATCATTCATATTCTTAAGATAAGTTACTTCAAAATATGAGTATAATTACTCTTCAAATGTTACTTTGAGTTTTTTCTTTTCTTTTGTTTTTCTTTGTGGGTAAAGGAAACACTTAAAATAATGACTGAGGATAGTGATATTTATAGGCTAGAATTGTCTGGCCGTCCTTCTTTTCATCTTAAAATAAACAGATGACTGTACATAAAATCACCATTGAATACTCTGAGTATTTTAGATCTGACTTTGGTGTTTGGAATGCTCCTAATATCACCTACAAAAATCAGTGCTTTCTGCCCTGATGCTCCTGCTTGAGTCCACACAAGATCCTGAAAAATAAGCTGCACTATGTATTCTGCCCTCCCATTAAGAAACTCACCTGCAGGCTAATGCATGCAGAAAGACTGGTCTGTACTGTGTGAGGTTGTATGCAAACTGCTCCAGATGCTTTGGGGCCCCACTGGCAGCTCTGAGAACATTCCTAGGTTTACAGCCCCYTGAATAGCTCTGACCTGTTGCTGAGAG